TTCGTTACATGCGCGCAAACTTGATGTATAATTTGCAAAATTTTGTGTTACTCACTCATTTATTGGAGGGCACTGTATATGTTTATGTTTTGTACCATAACAGATCTACACATCTAAGGCTATGTGGTCAACTACAACCTGCCTGGATCTGCTGTCATGAATTGAGCCATACCTTTCTCTACACTATATAATAAATGCCAGTTGACTAATATGAACTGTATACTTTGTACTATCGACTATTTACCAGCTTCATTTTTCATTGACATTATCATGATTGTGACTCTTTCAACCATCTTTTATGTTATTTCATTAACTGATGAAAACAAAGGCAAATACACTATACAATGAGGACAAGCAATATCAAAATTAAATGACAATGGAAACTTCCTGATATATAATTTCACTAATTGGGTACCCACTTCTCAACCCAAAGCCACAGATGATTCTTTATCCATACAATTGTTATATTTAAAATCAATTTATCAGGTTATTGGCAAATTCACCTTATCCCATGATGGTTCTATCAACATCATTATCACTGCAAACATCCACCTTTCTCTATCTGAAGACAATATCCCTATTTCCAAACCCATTGTTTCTTTAGTGTGACATATCAATGCAGAAGTAACCTTAACTGAGTCAGCATACCATTTACCACTTATTGTAAAGCCATATCTATCAGCAGACTCATGTGATCCAATAACAATCACCTTGATCCACCCCTCTGAAGGACAGCTAAAAAAATCATTCACTGCAGCAAAAAAAACATCTCTGATACATTGTACTGGAATTCTAATAGTTATTGAATGTACAATGTACTGCCAAACTTTGGAGTTCCAGTTTCTCAGTACTAAATCAACCAGCTTATCCATGGTCACTCTGCCTTGGCAAATCAAAGAAGAAAACCTGTTAAAAAAACAAACTCAATTGAAAGCCAAATAGCTGCTGTACATAAAGCTGTTTCTCAATCTCCACCATCTCAAACAAATGAACGAAAAGCAACAACCCCAAAAAAAGCCAACATTTTTAAAGTCACTGAAATAGCGAAAGCTCTACTTGTGAAAAAAGTAGAAGACACACCATGTGAAGATTATGAACAACCATCAAATTTAAATGAAGTTGATGATTACCAACAGAAGTGTATCCATGACCCACCTGAACCTCCTGCTAGGCAGACTCAAAGGAAAACAATTATAATAAATGCAACTGAAGTGATAATTATACTATAGTGAGAACAAAGTGCAAATTTCCCTGATGTTTCATTCCATACTTACAAACACTCACTTTTATTGTTTGCTTTATATAAGTGGCTGACTTTTTCTTTTAGTTTATACATGTAAGAACACTATTATAGTTATTTTATTTGCTTATTTCCTCCTTTCAACATATGTGATTATTTGTATTCTTTTCTGCTGATTATGATTACTCTTGAGACAATGTTCGTTTTTTGATTAATCTTGACATTATGCTCTCCTGCCTCATTCATACTCTCACACTATGAGAAACAAGACTAGCAAATATAGAGCAAATGTTGAATTCCCTTTCTCTTTTTTACTTTCCATCTCATTCCAGCTACCTCTTCAGTAATAGTCCTCATTCAATTTATAACGACCAAATCAAATATAAACATACACTAAAACCACCTTACACCAAAGTCATCCTATACCAAATCATACTACACATTTAAAAATGAACACTGCAAACATTATTTTGCGAGTTGCTTTTGATGCGATTGTTGAATGATTTACAGTGAACCCTCCATAAATGCATGCCCTCAGGAATGGAGGAAAGCGTGCATTTATGGAGGGTGTGCATTTAGAGAGGGTAAGAATTTGATTGAATTTAAAATATCATTGGTTATTTATTGTCACGGCTGATGGTGAAATCGGCTGATGGTGAAATCCACGTGATCTTTTTTATTACCTAATAATCGT